ATCTATAATACTGTTAGCATTTCTGTAGCATTTGTAGCTGAGGGCTTCAGGCTTCCGGGAAACATGGAAATGACGTCATTCACATAGATTACTGATTGGCAGAGCTAACTCGAAATTTCGACTTAATAACTCAAAATTTCGAGTTATTTTTCTCATAATTTCGAGTTGCTAAGTCGAAATTTTGAGAAAATAACTCGAAATTTCGAGAAAGATAACTCGAAATTTCGAGTTAAGTATCCTTTTTTTTTTAGTGGCGGAAACGGGCTTCCATAACAATCTGCAGTTTCTGAGTGTGGAAAAGAATCCGGTCTAAATGTATTACGACAGTCTGCAGACTACAGAGTGAATTAAACCCTGTTTATTATAGCTGCTGTTACTTTGACATTTATCTTTGTGTTAAGTATTAATGGCAGTCTTCCTGGACTCACGTGTAAGAATGAGAATAGTTTTATTGATCACAGGGGGAAGTTTATGAACATGTGCTGTATACTTTCACTTAAACTTTTAATCACATTAATCGTGATGTTAGAGTTAACAGCCCGACAGCAAACGCACAAAAATGATGACACAGACTTGTAATTTGCACCGACGTGTTTTCTAAATTCTTAGGACTTGTTGACAGACACGTGACGTCCACACAGCGACATTTTAGTCTAAAAACATATTAAAAGTGGATTCTCGTATTCACGAGTCACCATCCGCGGCGTCCTTGAACACACCGGGCCGTTTTTAACCCGCACTTGAAACTTTCAAACGTAAATTAAAACCAACGAAAAATGAAAAGTGAGCAATGAGCTTACACCGAGGTAAACAGGGCGGTGTCAGGAAGACACACAACTGACCTGAACACTCAACATCCCGCGAACGTGACAAAGTTTCAGCCCATTAGGAAGCAGGAACAAAAGAGACTGAAGATAATCCGGGTTTGAACGAATCACGTCCCACAAGAAACAAACAACTTTCCTCCAACTTTTTCCTTCGTTTTCTTCTTCTTCCTGCTCTTCTTCTTCTTCTTCTTCTTCTTCTAAATGTTGGCAAACAACAGAATTGGTGCAATACCGCCACCAACTGGTATGGAGTGTGGTCCAGAACGTCACTTCAGGATTAGATGCTATCATATAAATGTGTTTGTCTAAGAAATCTAATATTACCTGATGATTTTTACTTCGTGAATTGTTTCTAAGTAAAGCATTTAACTCTAGCTTCACTTTAATTGAGGTTTTGAGTCAGTCTTCTTTCTTCCACATGGTCTTGACACTGTAACATAACATGCAATGTTACAGTGTTTCCCCTAAACTGCAGTGTGCTGTTTAACCCAGTGTGATCACATCTGACATGTGTTTGTTTCTTCTCTCCTCCTCCTGTCTCCTTCTCATTTCTCCAGTTTTCTTTTGGATTAAAAAACACTGTCATTTCCTTTCTTTCTCATGAATTAGACATTTATGGCACACTACAAACTGCATTAAATCCATGCCTGTGAGGCTTTG